GCTTGATTCATGACTTCAAATAGTTGGTGAAGCAATGGGGAGTGCAGTTGAATACTTGAATATAACTCATAACTTCAAAATAAAAGCTGATCAGAAGATTAAGTTGTTTCACTGATTCTTTGCCTTGCTCATGGACATCTTGTAAATAGAGGAGTGCGAGGATTCTTTGTTCAATATTTCCGCCCTTTTTATTTCCATAAGTTCAAGCATTGAAGGCATCTTGAAGGTTGAGGGAAGAGAGAGTTTCTCTCTAACTTTGTTGTCTATAAAGCTTCTCCAACCACAAAGCAGCCAGTAACTGTAGACACTCTTTTCATGTGAGTGGGCTTCAGGGGGAAATACATTTCCAGATTCCAACAAGACGGATCCTTGAGGAACACCTTCATAAAGGCTCCATGAGTGCTGAGGGGAAGCTATAGCACCTTCTAAAACAGCAATACTTCCCAACTTTATCAATTGCTTTCAATTGCAGCCAACCTTTTTTATTTTTTTCTAGCGCTAATCAGTCTATAATACATAATCAAAACTACTATTGCCATGCATTTCCTAATCATTTGAATTGTGTTTTTATGCAAATAACTACGATGGATGACTATAACAATAAATAAATGTAACATTTGGACATTTTGTCTGCTATAAGAAAACAACAAATACGATTTGTATCAGCCGATAAAGTTCATCGATTATCAGCAAACCGCATCCGCAGCAACAAAACGTGGCATCGTTGAAATCGATATTTCCTTCCTTTTTTCTGCTAATCTGATCCGTGACTCAAAACCGTGATACGATATGAACCGTGAGTTTTGCGATCTGTTAAATAATATGCAGTGGGAAATCTCCAATAGTCAAGGCCTGTTTCCCTCCCTGCATGGTCATAGTGCTCTCACCCAAGGCACTTAACCCCTGCTGTTCCTATGGAGCAACTCCGTTACTCTCATTAGCGTGTTTGCCCTGACTTAGGCTTCTGGGGCAGAACTGCCTCTCAGGCCTCTTCTACTGGGATTAGCAGACTCCATGTCCTAAGGATGGGGCATTAACAGATGAACAGCCTAAGAGGTTGACAAGCTCAGTTTAAAGACCATGTTCGATAAATCATGGATATTTTACAATGTTTCTGACTATTTCAATTGCATGCTACGCAGTTCTAGATTTTTGGATGTGTTTTTCCTACAGGCCCCCATTGGCTCATTTCCATTTCATTCATTTCTGTGCAGTATATAGAAAACAATTAGCAGTCTCTTGAAACTTGACAAATCATGCAGACTGGGTCACACATTGTCCCCTGTCACTCACCAGTTTCACTTTAAACTGTGTTCATCGTGTCCTGTTGTCAGATTCAAGATAAGAGCAGCTTTCAGTTGATAGAAATGATAATGTGCTCATGTCGGTCACCTTGAATTGACCTATCAGCTATCAGCAGCCAACTGTGTGAGCAAGAGTGAGGGTTGTGTGTGCTAAACATAGACTGTATAAGTAGTGGACATCGTGAAGTCACCCATTGGTTTGTGGACTGATGTTATGAAGTCTGCGATATCGCCGTCGCCATCTTGGATTACGGCCATCACTAGCGGCAGCGACCTGTCAATCACCGTGTAGCCCCGCCCTAAAGCATCCCCTGCTTTATGGTCTGTTTGACTCTAAATGGACCATAATGTACTAAATGAACATCATGCTGTATTGAAGACTTGAAACTAGAGATTGAGACCATAAACTCACGTTTACAATGTTTACTGAGGTAATAAATCAAGAGAGAAGTAGAGTCATTTTCTCATAGACTTCAATACAACCAGAGGAGTCGCCCCCTGGTGGACACTAGAGAGAATGCAGGTTTAAGACGCTTCCGCATCGGCTTCACTCGGCAGAACTGGAGGTTGCCACCTGGTGCTAAAGGGTCAAAGAGGTTGGTCTACCCCTCTGGTTGGTAACACTTGTGGGAAATAGAGATGTGGAAACTACTAATTTCCAAACTTTCAATGGTATAGTTAATAAAGGAAAAGACATATTAAGCTCAATGGCCAGCGGTAATGACTGTCCAGAGGTCAGTAATGCTCCGTGGTTTAAAAAGGCTGCAAAAATGATTTTGGATGCAAACACGCTCTTTCTCTCTCTGTACTCTGAATCCATAATTCTTTGTTTGTGTGTCACTGTGATGGCATTTATCTCTGCCTGCAAAATGAACCCCTAAACGTTTAGAAGTTATGGATCCAAGTTCTGGAGATGAAGGAGGATTACCAAACAAATCCAGTGCTGAATCTGCCAAGACTTGTTTTCATCTTTAGTGCCTTCGTTTCTGTTGTTCCACAGAATGTGTGTGTTGCTGTGTGTTGGTTGGGTATTTAAAATATTCAGCAGAACATACACACAGATACACTCCGGGAGATAAAGTAAATCTGGGATTTTCTTTCATATGGGACTCCAGACTTTCTCTTATGTTTTTGCTGCAACTCACTGACAGTTTCATTAGTTTTTCGTCTCATCCGGCAGTTTAACACGAGGACAGACTTTCATGCTCTCTTTCTGTCAGTCTGCCTCTCATTTTTAATACAACCACAAACATGACGATGGTTCTCAAATGGCCTGTAATTACAGCGTGAGGGTTTACAAGCTGCTCAACACTGAGACGCTGTCTTTTACTACACCTGTTCTTACAATAATGGCATTTAATTATAGCTTAAGAGCAACTTTCTATAATCATCACATACCTTGACAACCATTTTAATGAGAACGCAGCACATATTCACAGCATAGTTGAGTGTGACTGTGGTTTATTAGAGCAAATAATTATTCATGAGGACAAAAATGTGTGATAAAGGGTACTTTAATTATGATCTGTTATGCATTATTTATCGGTCGCGTGCACTTTCCTCTATTTTATTTGAAACATTTTTGGAAACATTCTTTTTTGCCTTTTTGAAAAAGGCTTTTAAAGAGATTGAGAACTAACACTGTGCTGTGTTCTCTCAGTTGGTTGAACTTAACTTCATAATTACTCAAAAAAACAACGAGTAATGAGAAAGGAAATAGAAAATAAATGCCTCAAGTAAAACAAAACAGTTGACAGAGTAAAACAGTGTGCTAAGACTGAAACAGAAATACAATACTGGATTGATTATTAAGATATGTCGCATATTACAGCAGAAGCTTCTTTTTATTTAGATTTCTTTACAAAATAAGAGCATTTTATCACTATCAAAGCACAACATATGTGAATGTATTAGGGCTGTACCTAACCTACCTACCTCATTATTCTTTCATCAAGTAATCTAATTTATTCTTTCTTTCGATTAGGTAACTACTTTTTAAGAACTTCGGGGGTGATGAAGGGTGATTGCCTCGCTTTGAATCGGTAATGGAAGATGCGCTCTTCCAGGATGCGGAGGCAGCTGAATGTATAAAAGAGCACAAAGCTCCTCCGGCCAGATAATTGAATGAAGAAACAATTTCCTCTTTCACTGTTGCCTAGCTTTGCATCTTTGGAGTGTCTAATTTGAACAATGTACAACCGTCATCATTGCTATGCATGCTTCAGTGAGAGGTGGTGGTGGAAGACGGTGGCACAATATTTTCTCTGCATCCAGCTAAGACTAGTGGTACACAACACTTATTGTGCCTTAAAAGTTCCTAAGATTATATTCAGTGCAGGAATCCCTCAAGGCTGAATACATATTTCATGAGCTCTTGACTTTCAGAGACTTCTAATACAGAAAGTTTCCTCAGCATCACTCGCCCGCTACGTTTGTTAGGGCTTACAATATTGCAGCGTGTTTGCAAAGTCACAAGTCTCAAGCTTGAGAAGTGAGAACAACAACAGCAGGACATCTGAGTCATTCAATTAGAAAAGACAAAAAAAGCATCTGCTAATAGAGATGGACTAATGGGCTTAGAGGTGAGGAACAGTCCCTGTCCCAAAGTGCTAGCGAGCTAACTAGCTAATGAGGGCTAACCTGCTACCAATCAGAAACTAGAATTCTCAAGATAAACGCTGACACATTCATACATCAACATACATATAACAACATGTTCAGTGAATGAATAACCTTTATAGTGCTCTCTAGCAGTGTGAATTGTCCGTTAGAAATGTGTCAGGTGCTGTAAATGACAAAGTGTCGGTCTGGCTGCAGAGGCGATACAAATAATTTATCCGGTCTATATCCTCACACGGTCCGTGCTATCAGTCCGGAGGTCCTCTCGCTCCAGTTAATATCAAAGCTGTCCAAGTGAAAAGCAGCGCTTGAGTCTGATAACATCACTCTGCTGCTACAGTACTCACCCTTCAGAGGTTCAAAGACTAATGCTTCAGCTCCGAACCAACTTTACGTTTCGGTGAGTAATCCGTGTTCTTCTATTCAATCATTTTCAGAGGAACGACTTTGGGGGGAAAAAGTTACTTTTGAAAAGTACTAGAAACTATGTTCTTTAGTTTTTGGGCAACTTTTCTACCTTATCAAATCCTCTTCAAATAAAAGTTAAACTTTTACACAAAACCCAACCAGGGGCAAGCAGGAAAATACACATCCGATTTTAGACTGCAGGCCTTGATGTACTGTAGATCAGTTTGACCTGGAACGACTCATCTACACAACTACACAGTAGCTCTGATTCAATCCCTACAGTAGCTCTCCACGTATCTCAAGGTCTCACAGTGGTGTGATTCTGTTGAGCAGAACATTGGAGAGACTTTTATATTACATATTTACAATTGTTGTGTTATTTTTTTTGCATTGTCCAGAGTAAATGTCTTCTATTTAAGTTAAAACAACATAAAGTGAACTTGTGGTGTTCAAAGAGAGAGTATAGCATTTATATTTTCCTTCATTTATTTACCTAAAGACAATGCTCTGACACTATCTTTACTTCCTGCCATTGTTTCAGACTTTTCTGGGATTTTTACTCTACGTGTTCACACATTTTGTTCCGTCTGTGTCTGAAACACAGAGCCAGTGTTTTAAGATGTACATGTTCACCCTCCTCCTCCACACCACCAGCCCGGAACGTCTCACCTGTCCAGGGCGATGCAGCACAGGTGCAGTATGGACGCGGTGGTCAGCAGGACGTCCAGCGATGTCCGGACCAGGCAGAAGGTCTCGCCGTAGATCCAGTGCTGGTGGACCAGCTCGATGGCACCAAACGGCATCACCAGCACCGACACCAGCAGGTCGACAAACGCCAGAGACACGATGAAGTAGTTGGTCTTGATTTTCCTGGTGGAGGAAAAAGAATGAGAGGAGGAGTTTAGATAAACAAATATGCGTTATCATTCTGGAGTGATACCTCTTTTTGTGATCAATTAATCAATAATGAATGATCAATGTTGACGATGCATATTTAGATCATTCATTGGAAGGAGAGTGGAGTAAATGTAATGGTTACCGATGCTGTTTTGACATTATTATTCGAAAAACAAGAAAAATGTGATTTGAATAAAAAAAAACTTAAATTTTTTACTTTCAAACTAGAGACCTTGGGATGTACATTAACACACATTTTTGAAAAGTCGATTAGGATCCTTTTTCATGGTGGACAGACAACTAAACGTATCAACGTTACTATGCAACTAACGAAGTGATTTTGTTTCATTGGTTTTGTCGCCTGATGTCGTCCTGACTGACTCGGTGCAGAAAAGATACTTTGGATTGAAATATATTCCTTTGAAAGTTGAAAATGTTACAAATCAATAGACTCAAAATGTGACAATTTCACAAACTGTCGCGAGACTGTGGTGCAACTACACACCTGCACGTTTTGTGACTGCATGTTGCAACGCTATCACTGTGACAAAATCTGTCCATTGACAGGCAGAAATATAACAAAGTACTCCAAACTGCTTCTGTGGTGGTTCCTGCTTCAGTCGGCGTCTCCAGGAACACATTGTGTCGAGATGACTCACAGACTCACACGGTGAAAACAAGACCAGCGTTGCTGTCGTAGCTGGTAATGACTTTGGCAACGCTGTTTCTCAGCGACGTTGAATCACACTTGTACAGTAACTGATACTGAGAGTTTGGCAGCTGTATGAAAATGTAATTGTACTGTTGGGCAGCAACACCCAATAACAGGCGAATTGTTTCTTTGAAAAAGAGTTGTTTATTTTTGTGTGTGTGTGTCATAGTGTGTTTTTTATCATGAATACAGCCAACAGCAGCTCAAGAAAGCAACAAGTTGTTCACTGATATGCAACTCTTGACACTGTATATTTGTATCTTAAGTCCTTAAGTAACGTCAGTTCCGTAAGTAAATTAAACCAACCGTTGACTTATTTGTCAGGTAACTTCCATGCTTAAGAAATGGCCACTTCCATAGTTATTTGAAGCCAATTAGACAATAATGTTCTTCCACCTTTTGTGGCAACAGTTTGCGTTCGTCTCCTTCCTGTTTCAACATGCCGGCCAGCACAAAGACAATTCCATAAAGAAATGCTTTTCCCTACTTGTTGTGGAAGAAGTTGACAGGCCTGCACAGAGCTCTGACAGAGACTCCACACAACCACTCCGACTTTGAGCCAAACAGAGGCAGAGATGGAAAAGTCTGTCTTTAAATATCAGCAAAAAGAAAAACAGATTCCACGGGAACAGGGCAACAACAACAAGCACTGCGAGGAAAGAGAAAACATCCATCTCTCCATTTCATTAAATGGGAGGCGGAGGACAGAGGAGTGATGACACGTTGAGAAAAGTCATCAAACGCTCAACTTGAAATGAGGTGAAACCACAGCGAGACAGAATGAGATTAAGGTAGATTCATTCTGCAAATAGGTTGTTCATGATGATATAAAGGAGCCTGGAGTCCTCTTTGTTCTAACAGTCTGCAGACTCTTTATCACCTTCCCCGTGATAAAAGTTGGTTTTCTTTATCGCAGCAATACAGCTGTCACAGGCGAGGGGCCGTGCTGTTACTACAAAGTAGTGCTGAGATAAAAAAACACTACAATAAAATGGACCCCAAGACATATTTTACTTTCATCTACTACATTGATCTCTGCTTAACAGCCAACGCAGGGTGGGATGGCTTCCAGAGAGTCCTGCAACTATCTGATATATGTTCATTAAGCAGACTGTCTGTCACCCACACATGCATAAATACTCCCTCACTGTTTTGTGTCTCTCGCTCTCTCTTTCTGTGCAGCTTTGTGCTTGACCAATACCACAACTGCTCACACAAAGCGAGAGGATACTCTTGGCTGCCAGCTGTTAAGCATATTTGTAACCTTTCTGACAAATGAGTTATTGTCACATTAATCTATATAATACCGGTCAAATGGTGGTTGAAAGGTTTGTCACAGGGTTTGGGTACAAAAACAACTCAGTCAGCTGATCAGTCAACCTGTTCTCACTCCCAGCTCGTCAAATACTGCCGCTCGGTGTCTTGATACCACCACACAGACGGACTCTTTAGCGTCCGTATGAGACGCACCAGGCTTTCACAAAGCTCCAATGTACACCTATACGTGTCATTAGTAGATGCTAACGTAGTGTAAAGAGCGAGACAGTCTGTGACTGTTGGGTGGGAGCGGTGGTGGTGGATGGGTCAAACAAACAGGACTTTCACCCAGCAGACCGGTGTTTGTGTCTATTGTGAAACTAAAAGTCAATGTTGATATTTTGTCATTTGTTACTTTTGTTAGTAGTTAGTCAGTCAAGTTAATTTCTAAAAGACACGCTTGTAACAAGCGCATAGCGACGCGCCTCATCACCTGGTTGGTAAAGCTTTGCATTCACAGACGAACCACCAACCAACCAGTTAACCCGTGAAAGAGTCAGCTGGTCTGTTCTCCACGCTGTCTGCCACGTGGATGGTCTGCGGTCTATAAATAGCGTCAGTAAGAGCGGATGGCTGTGAGGGTTTTCCATCTGCCTGTCACTAACCCAAACAGCCCCTTAAAAACAGTGTTAGTGCAGGAACCAAGCAGCTGTCTGCTGCGCCACAATATAAATCATGTCGGACATGCACACACACATGTCCACATGCACGCATCGGAAAACACACAAAAACGCACAAATAGATGCATCAACGCAAGCGGAAACACAGAAAACCATGTGCACACCTTCTGTAGATTAATGAGGTTTATATACACACACTGTATGCTCAAACACACAACACACACACACACACACACACACACAGTTGTTGGCTGTAATTCAGGACAGTTTAGAAACCATTAACATACCCAGAGCGGGAGGCGTCGCGTTTAGTTAGGATGACATATCGTGTTTAGCTTAAAGTCCTAAGAATAAATAAAGTGTATTAAGAGGGATCGTGTTGCTGGAAGGTTGGTGTGATTTACAGACGCACGGTGTGTCGAGTGGATAATATGGAAAGAAGAGGAGGAGAGATGAGCATGTTGAAGAAGAAAATACTGTAAAGAGGAGAAGAGGGATGAATGTTCTTTAAATCCTTTAATTGTAATTAGGTTAAACCGCACTGTTTTTCTTTGTGAAGTTAAATACTTTGATTATAGATAAGACAATGATTCTGAAATATTGTCATATATCAAAAGTGTTGGAAATTTAGTTTTGAAACTTTTGTTAATTTGTCGCAGGTCCACTCCTCCCGGTTGGGTAGATTTCAGGGCTGAAAACATGTAAATCAAACGACCCTGGGGAAGTGAGAACAAAACAACTCCACTGCCAATAAAAAGCATTAAGCTGATATTCTAGTTTTTGTGAAATACTGCCTGAGGCGTTAAATGCCTCTGCAACAACATTGTGATCACCACAGCAGTGATTGGAATGCTAATGATAATCTTTCTGCCTTTAAAGACACTTTGAGTGGATTTCTTGTGTTCTTTCATGTAATTATTGTATTTATTAAATTGCTTGGATTTATTTTATTTTCTTTCTTTCTTGTAGAATAATAAGATAATCCCGGTGTCAGTGTCATGTGGTTGAATCCAAAGAGGTGAAAGCCTGCGTTGACTACAGAATGCCTCTTTGTGACGACTAAGGCTGAACTGTTTTCTACAAAACGGCACCAATCAAAAACAAAGGTTAGACAATGAAAACACGAGAAAATTACAAAAAACAAATAGATTTGTATTGTTACTTATCACAATAAAAACAGTAATCTGACTATCCCCATACTGAAATGAAATATCCTCCAGCACATAACAGTGTTAATGCACACATGTGCTTATTAGATAGAAAATACAAAGACCCCTAACGAAGATCCTGCAGCTCGCATGGCTGCAGGTTAATCACCACAGTTGCTCATAAAGCTGCCTGGTGTCCATTATAAACAGCATGCAGTCTGTGTGGCAGCACGTGTCTGTGTGTGTGTGTGGGTGTGTGTGTGTGTGTGTGTAATGCCTCTTAACGTGTCTGGCAGCTTTCCTCTCCTGCAGGCTGCACACACTTCACTTGTCCAGAGTGTCCTCGCATTGTAATAAAATATATTTTAAATCTTTCCCTGTCATGGCTTTTAAGTGTGACATGCTAACATGTAGCATGTTTTGCTAACTTACTTACTTGTTAGTAATTAAGTGATTGCTAACTGACTGTTTGGCTATAACCCCTTTGTCTTCAAAACATATTCTCATAGAACAGTTCGATATCTTACAAAAAAGTTGCTCATCATTTTTCATGTGTTTTGCAAAAGTCCAGCATCACGTGTTGATTTCTGCTCGTTACATGCATCTTTTCAAACTTCTGTCTTCAAAGGAAACAACTTAGTTAGGCTGAGGAGAAGATATAAAATAACTGCGGTAGTGGCGTTACTAAAGTCCTCACGTTACGGGACAGATGCATCAAGGTCGGCTTCTTGTTTCACACGCGGAGTGAAAGACCACCGAATACATGCATATAGATTCTAAGGTGGCCGCGTCGTTCACCTCCCACGCCTGCCATTTCTCCGACAATCTATCTGTTTTGATGATGTCGTCCCACCGTCTCTCCTGCTTCCATAGATCCTGCAGAGATGCACTGGAATCTTTGCACAGAGTCAGAGAGCCCAGAGAGTCAAGCTGGCTTGCCAGCACCTTGAATATATTCCTCATTAAGCTGATTGATGCTTCACTTCATCAAGACATTTTTTCGATTCTCCGTTCACACGGGAGGCATGTGAGGAAAACAAAATGTTTTTCTCCAAGAAGTCAAGGTGACACGCGGTGAGTAATCGATATACAAGTAGTCTTCTTGTGGGTGAAGTATTCCTGTGATGAATTCAAAAATACCGACTGGCTGTTTCTCTTACGATTGACTAAGAAACAGGCTGACTCTGCTGCTGCTCAACAGTTGTTTTAATGATGTGCTCAGAGTTCTGCTTTATATTTTGTCACAAACACGGTCACCCAGGGGACACTCCACCAGAGCAGGAGTGAGTCTTTTTTTATTTTTCGTGTGCATCTATAATGCATTTGTGTCTTTTTTATATTTACGTGTTTGCAGTTAACGTGAACCAGGAGTAAAAACAGTGGACGTCTCTCTGTGTGTGTGTGTGTGTGTGGGTGTGTGTGTGTGTGTGTGTGTATTTCCCAGTGGACAGAAAGACAATGATGCCGGGACAAATAAAGACGGTGTGTCATCGCTCTCTCCTCGGGGAGGTGAGACATCACAGCAGTGACTTTGTCACTCATCAATGTTCTTAAACACACACACACACACACACACACACACACACACATTTATACACAGAAATGAATGCTGACTTTAATTACTTTTTATTCCCACGTACACACACACACGTCTGCTTTTCTTTTTCTTTTCTCGCATGCATTCATCCTTCACACAACCCAACACACACATGTCAGCATAACGATGGTCACCCTGAGCTCTCATGGCAGATAGAAAGACAGACAAAGAGAGAGAGTCCAACTATCAGAGACATGGTACACGATAGAGAAAGAGAGAGGGAGAAGAGGGAGGAAGAGAAGAAGATTGTATCATTGCGGTGAGGGCGGCTCCCACATGACTGGCCATCCTCAGGATGACCTACCGGCTCTGCCCGAGTCCCGAGACATCGTTGCAGTTTCTCGTTAGACTTCACAGAAGAAAGAACACCCTGACTCTGAACATTATGCTCATGAAATGTATTGTATGTAGATATTCTTTGATTCATTGCTGCAGTATATTCTGCTGTCTTCTGTGTTCAGTATCTCAGCAGCAGTTCATGTAACCGTGGCTCTACTTCTCTCACTTTCATCCTTTCTGTCGTTGTCTCACTTAGACACACAAGGAGACATTCTCTGAAATAAGGTGTTATTATTATAAAAATAAAGAGCTGGATGTTTGCGTTAAGAGATACGTCAGGGAAAGGAGTAGAAGCTCTGTCCCACCTGAGTTGTCGGTCCTTGCAGACGGCCACCATGACCAGCAGGTTTCCCAGGATGCTCATCAGCATGACCAGAGACAGGAAGCAGATCAGAGCGATCCGCTTTGGCATGCTGTCGCTATGGAAACACCAACAAAAAGGAGAAAGACAAAACAAAACCACACATCAGTTCAGATCTGCAGAGAGAAACGACAGTCTGCATCGTTTCACAAGAGAAGAAGAAAAGTTAGTTCAGCTGCACTTAGACAAGACTTCTTGAAAATCAATGTTTTTATCAGCCTATATTTCGCTGCATCAGCGAAAAATAAATCCACTCCCACTAATGGCTTGACTCAACTTTTCTAAATTAAGTTCAGGAATATATTTATTGGCAGAAACAAAAATGACAGAAAGCAGGATTTATTTGTAATAAAGTTTCTGCTGCTCATAAAGTCAAACACTGTCAGCCTATAACGATGAATCTACAACGTGATATTTATTCCATATCCACAGCGAGATGACACAAACAAGTCCAGAGTGTTTATTACATTGACAGACATCGTTCCAGCGCTACGTAAACTTTAAAGCTTTCAATCATCTTGAATTCCGAACTGAAAACTCAACAGAGAGGAGGTAGTATCAGCGCCTAGAAGCTGAATATTGATGCTGTACATACTCTAAAATAATACGCAGCAATTAATCAACAATAATTACAGAAAATATATCTCCAAATAATCCAAAATGAAGTCCAAACATTTTGATGCCAGCAAACTTCCGCTGATATCTTCATCTTCAAAAAGACAGAGGCCTTAAATGGAGTCATCTCTTCACTGTATGAGCTGAAAGGCATAAAACTCAACATCTCTGCCACTGAACGATCAATTTAACTGACGTCTTTTGGCATTTTCATCCAGTGATTCACAATGAGCGGATCATTTTTTCCAAGGACTCCTTGACAGGACACGTCTTAGTCCACTGTGAAGAAAACTGCAAAAAAAGTTGCTTTTTCCTTTCAGATTCTGGCTGAAAGAATAAGTTCAGGAGGCCTATAGGGTGCTAATTCACTATGCACCACCAGGACCCTTAATATATGTTACGTCATGAAAACTGCAGACGATGCATCTCTGCTCCTATACGTCTGCTATAAGCTTGGCACGGCTTCAACTAAACGTCTCAAGGTACAACAAAGTAGTCGGCGTGAGTTATGAATCAAAGCCCTCGGAGTGAGTTGTGTGTGAGCCCTCTGAAAATGAGTTGTTTAATCTCAGACTTGTTGGTAATGCATTACGGTAATCCTCCTGAGGCTCGTGGTCTGTCGCACTTGAAGGCTTGCCTTGACTTCAAGTACGAGACTTTATTCCATTACAGGAGCAACATTTGAACTTTTCTTTGTCCGGCAAGTCCACTGAAAAGTTTTGGGGCCGTTTATTTATGGATTCTTTTTATTTTCTGTCCACGTTATCTGCAATATGCTAATACGCCGCCTCGGTGAGTCACCGCTCAAGGTCCGTCCCTATCTGCCAAATTATTTTACTCTCACCATCTGAGGTTCAAACGCGAAGTGATGGCGTGCAAATGAGGCTTGTTCTTTGATCAGTGGTGCCAACACACTAATCAGATCAAATGGGAAGGCTGACAGCTTCTCAACAGAAGCATCATTATCCCCCCAAAAGGCCTCTGTAACACCACACTGATCTTCTTTCATCTTGAATTTGTCGGCTGCACAGTGCGACCTTTCTCCGGAATGAGACATTGATACGAGTGTGATTGTAGTAGTGACCGCCTTTTCACACAGCTGCCGGTGTAACAGGCAGCGTACACATCTCCTCGCTCAAACAGGAGCCTCGCCTCATTTTGGATTTGACAATACATGAGCAGCACTTTGGCTCTGTGCTTTCTGAACACGCTCTTCCTGATCATTAGGTACCTGCGTCTGATTCCAAAGCTGCAGGAATCTGCTCCCTCATTGTTAGGGAACAATGAAATAGCATTTATTTTTTCAATTAACACTTGCAAATGACAAGGTAGTACGAAATGTACACCATACTTCAACCTATTTTCTTTTTCTTTTTCCTAGCTGTCTAGTGTCAAATATTTACTCTTATTCAGCAACAACATTTAAACCTGAAAGCTTCAGTTCAGCCGCAGTCTTCACTGAGCTTTGATGCTCAGGTAGTCCCTCATCCACGGGGAAAAAGGTTGTGATTGTATGTTTCTGCAAACCACTAATACATTGAGAGCAAGTATTGTAGAACAACGAGCAACAGGCATTGACTGTTATTGAAAGTTACGTGTTATAATAGCGAGTATAAAAAGTGAGAAAATCCATTGAGGGCACATTTAGCTCGTTTTTAAACTAGATGACTGGATATACTCTCCGAAGCAACCTACACTGAGCGCATTCAAGTGAGAGTTATAGATGTCGGCAAAACTCGTTCGTGTATCCTTTATAAAAAACACATGGAAACAGGTTTAGTGCCCCAGAACCAGTCCTTACAGTGTCTATATTTATGAGAAGTCAGTAGTACAGTAAAGTTATAGAGAATTCATATTATAGTATGTCAAAGTCGTGATACTAGACTTCATTCCTCCACTGTGGAGCCACAGCAGAAGAAGAGCCTTCACTAAGATGAGTGACCACCATGTTTTAATGTACACAGCACCAGATCACTAGGTTCCATGACCACATAAATTGTCTTAAATTGTCACAAAAAGAGATTTTAAAAAAGTGTGGAAAGTGTTCATTGAGCTCAGCGATCATATTTTATGATCTGATATTATTTTGCCCGTTTGATGAAAGATTAATCTGGGCTGTGCTTTTATTCAGCGTCATGTAAATGTGTTATTTATCAAATATTGCATTGCCTTCCTCTGTAAGCTTCTGTATATCGAATGTGTGCTTAGCTTAGAAAAGTCGACAGGTGAGATGTTGGAGGCATTTGTGGCAACAAATATGCTCTCTCACTCCACACCATGTGCTCTAAATTGATTTTCCAGATGCATGAAGAGCTCTTTCTGCATACCTTCATTTGCTCTTAAATCTGTGAGACTGTGGAAGAGATTGCAGCGACGCAACGACTGAGCGAAACTTTGTTGACATCCGATACGCATGAACTTTGACCCGCAGCTAAGCTGAACTTCTGCCTCGCAATCAGCAAGCTAGCAGCCCCAATTAAGGACAGATGAGGATTGACTGGGGAAATACCTCCAGACAAGAAGCTCTAAAAAGCTCCAATCTGTCATGAAGACAGAGTGCACACACACACACACACACACACACACACACACACACACACACACACACAGACACACACACACACACACACACACACACAGGCTTTATTCCTACCTGGTTTTTAGGGTCTGAGTGATTTTGATGCCTCTGCTAAATGTGAGGCAAAATCGGGAAAATGTAATCTTAGCTGTAACAGGAAGTGAAGAAAAGATGTCCTACTCTGCCTCAGAATATCTTCTGCATCACAGTCTATTCTGAAGCCCTCTCAGAGGCTCCATATCAGGTACTGAACGAGCTGCTGAAGTGCTGCTGATTAGATCCAAAGAGCACGTTTTGTTTTTTCTTCAGCCCTGATGACTGCAGGCAGGACCCTCGGTGGTCCACACGGATGGGCTGAAGAGTCGACTGTGCGCGTCTGACTGAACACTCCGGTGATTCTGCATGAACACATTACGTCAACTCAAGTGAGCTGATTGCACAGAAGCTGTCACCTTTGGGGGCCTGTACAACGTTAGAGTGGATGTGGTGAAAGCATTCGCTGTTGCATTCAAATGTTGTGCTTTTAAAATGTCTCTTTTTTCCTCAAGTCAGAACAGAAGCGTGATGTTAGTGTCACTCACATTCGACTGTCGATGATGTCATCAAACGCAAAAACACCACAAGCTACGCAGCTCGTCTGGAGCAGTCATTCATCTTTGTCATTTGGTTTAAACTTTTTTATTTTGCAGATTTGTATCTGTCTGCTGAACATTTACAACCTGGTTTCACTCCCAACTCGTCTAATAGAGACACCGATGCATGAGGCTTCCTTCAGCATCTGTATGAGACACACTAGACTTTCAACAATGTAAACTGATCTACACCGTTATTAGACGGTGAGATTAACTGACGTACTATATCAGAGATGAGAGATAAAGCTGGTGGGAGGGGAGGTTGGACGGGTGAAACCAAGTTAAAGTTGCTATTTTACAGTAGTTTTGTTATGTGATTTCTGTACTTTACGCTAGTTACGTAACAAACATACTTATTTTAACCCAAACCTCAATCTTTTCCTGAACCTAACCAAGTGGTTTTGATGCGTAAGCAAGCCTTGAAACAAAGTGAACCGACGTTGGGAGTTTATTTATATATTTTAAGACACTATGCATGAAACAAGGGGAAAAGACACAACATCCCTGATTCATCAAATACTGACGCCAAACATCAGTATTTGATGAGTTGGGAGTGAATATGTGTTGACATTTACTTAATTTATGCCTCCCTAATTAAAGTTGTTAGCAGAAAACTGCTGGAGCGGAGTACAGCACATTAAAGCACTATTAAAAAAGATCTAAGATTCAAAATAAAGAAACGCCACAAAGACGGGGTTTGGTTACTCGTAGACGGCTAAATCTTGCAGAGTTGCCTCTGATGTACTACATGCAGGGCTCATGCATCATTTAAGATCTGCTCTCCTCTGTCTTCTCTGACAGTCCTAGAAAGTTCTCGTTCATCTGAGGACATCAGCATCAGGACACTTCCTATGTCTGTGAGAGGTCCTACAGGAAACAGCTGTTCCATAAGAGGGGGCAATTTAAAATAGAGCCAACCGGGCGGGGTTTGTCCGAGCATCAGGAAGGAAACATAAGGAAAGAACCAGATATTCATCTTTTCGGAAAATATTTTGTACTGATGATTCAACCAAGAGAGTTTTATGTCAATCTACGCCTTGGAAGAGCTTCAATTGCAAGTCAGCTACATTGTGTTAAAATATAACTCCTCCTCTCCCACTCTTTTGACATATTACCTTTAAGCTTCTCTTGTTTTGTTTGTAAGATGTTCATGAAACTTGGAGAGGTGGAGCACGGGACACCCATGAAGAGCTCATGGATTTTGGAGCGGATCCAAATCACTTCTACACACTT